GTTAAGTCAGTTCCAACTCACAGTGACCCTGTATAGGGTTTCCAAGGAGCAGCTGGTGGGCTTGAACCACTAACCTGGGGGGTAGCATTCCAGTGCTTATACTATAGAGCCACACTAGGACCCAAGGGCGCTTACAGAGCAGATGGCAGTAGGTTGGTTGGTTTGTTCTGGTTTAACCTGCTACTAGGGCTCTCAGAATCAACTAGACAGCACTTAACAACGACAAAGGGCTCTTATAGAAGGAACCCTGATAGTGTAGTGGGTTATGAGTTGGGCTGCAGTTCAAATCTACTAGCCGCTCCATGGGAAGAAAGATGAGGCTTTCTGCTCCTGTAGAGATTTACAGCCTCAGAAACCCTATACAGGGTCACTATGAGTCAGAACTAACTGGATGACACACAACCAACTGACCACAGACACTTACAGAGCAGCTGAAACAAAAACCCATAGAGTCGATTTCAACTCGTAGCTACTCTCTATAGGGTTTCTGAGATGGTAAATCTTTCCGTGGGCAGACAGCCTCATCTTTCTCCCACAGAATGGCTGGTGTGTTTGGACTGTCAGCCTTGTTTGTGGTTTGTAGCCCAACGTCTAACCCACAGCGCCACCAGAGCAGGCAGGTGACAACGCCAAAAAATACCAGGGAAGAGGAGCAATTTTAAAAAGTGGTCAGGATGGGCCAGTTTGCAAAAGGTGACCCCTAAACGAAGACCGGAAGGCGATGAGAGGTCTGTGGGGGTACCAGGGGAGCCACGTTTTCCCTGAAACAAAGGCATCTGTCAGGTTTGAGGGCCAGCAGGAGGAAGGAAAGGGGTGTTAGGAGAGGAGTCAGAGGTCACAGAGAGTCTTGCTATGGCAAGGCCATTGTCCTTTACTCTGAGATCGAGTTGGGCGGGCACTGGAGGAATGTGGGCAGGACCCCGCTGTGTGGAGGGCATTGGGGAAGTGAGAAGAGGAACAGGGAGCCGTTGAGGAAATGGAGACCAAAAGCATCTTGCCCCAGGCAGGGTCACACAACTCACTGGTGTTGGAGTCAAAACTGGAGTCTTGATGTCACACCAGAGCCTGTGCACTTTGCCCTGTGCCAGCTTCTTCTCCCTGGGGACCGAAGTCTCAGGGCTGACCACCCAGATTCAGGTTCTGAGGGAGAGTAGGGTGGTACAGGAGTCTGCCGTGAATCAGGGAGGTCCTGTGTCTCTTGGGAACTGGCATCACGCCTGGATGTATCTGTGGGGAAGCAAAAGGCCCCAGAAGCCGGGCTCAGCTCTAGGCACCAAGGGAACCTGGGCATGCTGGGGCCAGACTGTGGTGGCAGGTTGCTAAGCAACCCCAGGAGGGAGGGAGCCCTGGTTACTGCTGCCTGGCAGAGGCGTCTCTTCTATCTCCCTAACCTCCTCCGTGGCCTCTGGCCTCCCAGGAGACCTTTCAGGCAAGCCAGAGTTAGGATCATCCTTTGCCACTGGATCCTGGCTGGGAGCTCTGATTGGTACCAGGCGGCTGGGCCCTGAGGAACCAGGCTTGGCTGCAGGGCCCGCCTTCCCTCATGGGGCAAGGCCTGGCACACACCGGGTACAAAGCCCAACTTAGGAGTCAAAGGCTCAGGTCCTCGCCAGCTCTGGCCCTCCAACCTGCTTGACCCTAGCAAGACACTGCACCCCTCCGTTTCTGTGCAAAGTGTGAGGAAGAGTGCTGAGAAGTTTCACTACTTAGGGAAAAAACAACAACAAAAGAAAATGAAAAGCCCCTGTGCTGGATGATCCCAGGAGTTTTCATGTGAAACTGAAAAAAGGACCCCAGAGTACAACTGACCCATCCCATCCGTTTCCAAGAGGCTAAACAGAACTGGAGTGGGTGAGGGGCTTGCCCGGGCATCCCTGCAATACCACCAGATCTTTGGCGTGACCTCAAGGCAATTCCTTCTTCCTGGGTCAGACCAGCTGTAAGTTTCTGGCTGGGGCTAGAGATCCCAGGGGTATCTGGGAGGGCATCAAGTGGCAAGGATGCCAACCAGGTTTCATAGGTGGGAAGATAGTAATCTAAAACATTCTTTAGACAATAGAGACCCATTATGAAGTAGAGTGCAAATCCCCCTTGAATTTTAAAAAGGAAGCATGAGAGGTAAGAAGCTTTGACTTTGTAACAACTGCTTTGTGACTACACCCCCACCCTTCCCATGCTGCCAACCTTTAGGGATAGTTTGCAAGGAAAGTTTAAGAAGCTCTGGGGTACTGGCATTCTAAGAGTCTTTTGGAGTTCTGTGGCTCATTTCTCGCTCCCTTGGCAGAAGGTGATGTCCATTGTTGTTAAGTGCCATCTCATAGCAGACCCCATATAGGGTTTCTGAGGAGTGCCTGGTGGACTTGAAACACCAACCTGGTGGTTAGCAGACCAGTGCTTACCCTACAATGCCACACCAGTATGTCCCCTAGACTCGGTAAGACAAACCTGAAGCCAACATCTGGCTGTGCCACTTTACAAGCTTTGTGACCTTGGCAACTTACTTAACCTCTCTGAGCCCCCTCTCCTCATGTTGACATGGGGATCACAATCCCTGTCTTGTAAGAGGCTTGATGTAATGATTGCATGAGATAAAGTCATTAGCGCATCTCTGACAGTATAGACAGATACTGAATGAAGTACGTGCTGGTGTCTGGCGATGCCCTCCCTCCTTCTCTGTAGCACTTGGAACTGGGCTGACACATTGTAACACTGATAAAGAGGTGTTGCCTAAGTGACCTCCAGCTGGGAAGTGGAGAAGTGGGAGGTGGAACCTCCAGTGAGCCAGACAGTCTCCTGGGGAAGGAAAACACCTTGAGGTCTCCAAGGCCCCAGGAACACAGGTGTGGGGGAGGGGCTGGGAGCCAGGTGCTGGAGCTGGAGTGGGGATGGGGGAGTCTTCTTGAGGGAATATTGTTCCCTGGGGGTCCAGCGCCCCTCCTCTCAGATTCCCAGGAGAAACTTTGCAGGGCAAAGCTGGGAGGGACCTTGGAGCCCCAGGTGTTGCCTCCCAAGGCCAGAAAGTGCCAGAGAGAGGGAGGCCAATCCCTGGCACTGAGGGGAGAGGGGCTGGGATCCCTGGGCAGCAGAATGAAGCCCCTTCCTGGAGAAGATGGCAGTAGGGGAGTGCCTGCCCAAAGCAGTGGTTACAGTGTGGCTGGTTGAATTAGGGAGTGAAGAATAGGTTCCTGGGCGGTTCGTGGGCGGGGCAGACTGGGAGTGATACCTGGCACTGTTGCCTACCAGCTGAGGGACCGCAGAGAAGTTACATCAGCCCCAGGGCGATTATTCCCTGATAAATGAGATGGGGTAATGCCAACGGCACAGGGTTGTCGGTGCCCAGCATTTCCACGCAGCGTGTAGCATGAACTAAACGGAGTCAGAGATCTGTTTTTTGAACAAAGTAGGTGGGAATTTCTGGACAGACTGAGGGGCTTCCACCAGTGTCCTTGAGCACCTGGCGTGTTCACCAGACACATCCACGTATATGAGTTGTTGCATTTAATGACCCGAAAGCCTGTGAAGTAGTTTCTGAGTCTGTCTCCATTTTCTTCAGAGGAGTTCACTGAGCCTCACTGAGACTGATTGAGTGAAGGGCCCATGGTCCCATAGCTAGGCAGGCAGAGTAGGCTGTCTTCCCAACCCTTATGCCATTTCCACAGCAGATCCTGAGTTGGAAGGTGAGGCCACCTTCCAAGGTGGAAGACCCAGCAGAAATGCTACTCCAGGTCCCAGCTAGGGCCTTGGAGATGTGAACACCATTGCCTTCCTTTGCCCTAAGGGCAAGTCTGAACACGCCGACAGTGACAGGGGAGTTCTGGAGACTGGCACAGCTGAAACTGAGAAGAGGATATGGCAAAGTGGGTGGCAAAGGTGAAGTGGAGGGGAGGTGCTGAGGTGGAGCAGTCAGGGCTGTATGACCTGGGTCAAGCCACTTTGGCCTCTCTGAGGTTTCGTTTTCTTGTCTGTAAATGAGAATTATGATACCTACTTGGTGGTAATTTTGTGAAGAAGGTTCCACCAACTAAAGGAAAGAGCTTTCAGGGCTGAGTTACTCTGGCTGGTGGGACACAAGGGGAGGGCAGGCTTCAGTCCACAGAGACGCTGGAGAGCTGGACTGGCCTGAATGCAGGCACTGGGCAGACAGGGGATATGAGGTCTTCATGGCCATGGGATGTCCTTTGAGAGAATTGGTGGAATCCAAGACCACTGTGGAGTCCACAAGCGCTCCAAAGGTTTAGGGGTAACCCCTGTAATGTTTAAGCCTTATACCCACCTTAGCAGACCCCCAGCCTATCTTGTTTTCCCTGACCAAGCCCTCCCAGCAAAGGGTTAACAGTCTTCTCTACCTGCAGTTGCATTTTAAAGACACAAAATTAAAGCAGGTAATTTATTCTCCCCACACACGAAAGAGCAATTAGTTCTAAACAGGGCTTAATCAGTCACCGCGAGATTGATTTCTGGAGCCCTGGGTTTTCGGGCTCCTGGCACCATGCCAGGCTGGGGAGGGGGGGGGCGGACAAATGAGCCGAGGCGGCTGCAAGAGCCCTTACATAATCTACTGGGGGGGGCGGTGCGGTGAGGGCACTGGCTGCCTGGCCAGCCCAGGCTGGGCTTAGCAGGGCAGGGGAGAGGGGCCCCACTCTTACAGTAGGTCCAGACAGGCCCCAGAGTAGTCCTCAGGGTTTGGCCTGGCCTCAATGGACTAGCTGGCCCCAACGCTACAGCCTTACCCTCTGGGAAATGTCTGTGTGTTTGTGGCTGGAGAGGGGAGGGTTCTGAGGGAGAAGATGGGTATTCCAGGTTTATCAAACCCCAGTACTTAAACTTGCTCCGGCTTCTCTCTCTGCCCAACCCCTTTGCCCCATTCTTTCTTATGCGCCCCCATCTCCCCTTTCTGAATCTTCTGTTCTCACTCATCTCTCTACTTTCTCCCCCTTCCCTTTTCCTCATGGTTTCCCCTTTTCCCACTCCCCCACCCTTATCCTTGTCTCTGGTCACAGAACTCCATCCGGCACAACCTGTCGCTCCACACCCGTTTCATCCGCGTACAGAATGAGGGCACAGGCAAGAGCTCCTGGTGGATGCTGAACCCCGAGGGCGGCAAGACCGGAAAGACCCCGAGGCGCAGGGCTGTGTCCATGGACAATGGGACCAAGTTCTTGCGCATCAAGGGCAAGGCGAGCAAGAAGAAGCATCTGCAGGCGCCCGAGAGGAGCCCCGACGACAGCCCCCCGGGCGCACCAGCCCCAGGGCCCGTACCCCCCGCCGCCGCCAAGTGGGCCGCCAGTCCGGCCTCGCACGCCAGCGACGATTACGATGCCTGGGCCGACTTCCGCGGTGGCGGGCGACCCCTGCTAGGGGAGGCGGCCGAGTTGGAGGACGACGAGGCCCTGGAAGCTCTGGCGCCGTCGTCGCCGCTCATGTACCCGAGCCCGGCGAGCGCGCTGTCGCCGGCGCTGGGTGCACGTTGCCCTGGGGAGCTACCCCGCTTGGCCGAACTGGGAGGCCCACTGGGCCTGCACGGTGGCGGCGCGGGGCTGCCCGAGGCCCTGCTGGACAGCGCGCAGGACGCGTACGGGCCGCGGGCCCGCTCCGGGGCGCCAGCCTACTTCAGTGGCTGCAAGGGCGCGGCCTATGGCGGAGGTGGAGGCTTCGTGCCACCGGCGCTGGGCGCACTGCGCCGCCTGCCCATGCAGACCATCCAGGAAAACAAGCAGGCCAGCTTCGCACCCGCCTCTGCGCCCTTCCGCCCTGGGGCGCTGCCCGCGCTGCAGCCGCCACCGCCTGCACCGAGGCCCAGTCCGGTGCTGGGCGCGCCGGGGGAGCTAGCGCTGGCAGGCGCGGTCGCCGCCTACCCCGGCAAGGGGGCGGCCCCGTACGCGCCGCCGGCGCCGTCGCGCAGTGCCTTAGCCCACCCTATCAGCCTTATGACGCTGCCCGGCGAGGCGGGCGCCGTGGGCCTGGCGCCGCCCGGCCACGCGGCCGTCTTCGGAGGCCCGCCCGGAGGCCTCCTGCTGGACACGCTGCCGGGGCCATATGCGGCCGCCGCCGCGGGGCCGCTAGGTGCTGCACCTGACCGCTTCCCGGCCGATCTGGACCTCGACATGTTCAGCGGGAGCTTGGAGTGCGATGTGGAGTCCATTATTCTCAACGATTTCATGGACAGCGATGAGATGGACTTCAACTTTGACTCGGCCCTGCCTCAGCCGCCGCCCGGCCTAGCTGGGGCTCCACCCCCTAACCAGAGCTGGGTGCCCGGTTGAAGGCAGCTTCCCCGTGCTGCACTTCGGGTGCTCCCGTCCCGCCCCCAAGGGATCTCTGTCTTCCCATCCTGATCCCCAGGCCCCATCCCTGATTGCAGTCCAACAGGAGGAGCAAGAAGGTAGCCCCAGCCCTGTTCCAGACATCCCCTAGAAGTTGACCACTGAGGGACGTGGTAGGACGGGGCTGGGGCACCCCACCATTCCTGCCCCAACTCCGGATCCTGCCTCTCCTCCTGGGGCAGGAAGCTGGGAGAGGCAGCTGCACTTCCAGCTGGTTAGGAGTGGGAGGGAAGATGAGGGGCCGCCTGTTGTGGGCGCTGGTCGGGGAAGCCAACTGGGAGATGGGACAGGGGTGCCTCCGAATCTTCGGTGTCATTTGCAGGGCCCTTGCCGTGACTCACTGCCCACCCTAAACTCCGATCTGATTCCCAACTGACACTCTTCCGCACCTCCTCACCCTCCCCAAGCTGGGAACTCTTCAGAAACCACTCACATCTACTTATTGGCTGCCCTCCTGAGCAGCTTTTCTTCAGCCCTAAACTACCCCCCACTCCCACTCCACGGTTCAGCCCCTCCTCCATCCTAGCCAGCCCTAGTTCTTCCCCTTCCCTGTCCGGGGTCCATCCTAGTCTCCTCCTTTCCCCACCTCCCAGTACTGGTCTCAGCTTCTCCAGCAGGCCCTCAGTTCCAAGACCCACCCAACACCCCTTCCTCTGTGCCATTCCTGGCCCCTCTGTCCCATATTTATAAACGTCCGGCCGGGGTGGGCGCGGCGTCCCAGGCGCGTATCGTAGGCAGTGTACTGTGGCCGTGCCGTCAGCGTGTGCGTGTGTGCCGTGTCGAGGCCGTGTAGAGTGCATTGTACAGCATATTTTCATGAATAAAATTGTTTTAAATATTTCCCGTGCCTGGGGCTAACAGGATGGGGGCTGCAAAGGAGGATAGATACTTGGTCAGGACAGGTGTAACTCTGCCTGAACCCTATTGCGGCTTTGTATCTGGGTACTGGTCAGTATTCTCTGGTGCCTGTCTGTTCAGCACACACTGGTGTGAAGCGCCTACTGAGTTCCGGATGCTGGAGATGTGCCTTGTGGAGCACTGCACCTGTGTCTGAACACGTGCGTGCAGGCAGTCTTCCGCCTAGGAAACTGAATAAGCCTCAGAGATTGGGGTGGGGAAAACACAGATATTATTGAGAACCTGTTAGTACCAGACCCGGTATTAAGATAGAAAACAGTATCAGAGAAGGCAAACGCTTGGAAAGGCGGAGTTGTTGTTAGGTGCCATCGAATCGGTACCGACTCACAGTGACCCTATGCACAATAGAACAAAACACTGCCCGGTCTTGGGCCAACCTCACAATCGTTGCTACACATGAGCCCATTGCTGCTGCCACTGTGCCAATCGCTGGGATTTTCCTCTATTTCTGTGACCCTCCAACTTATAAAACATGATCTCCTTCTCCAGTGACTGTCCCTCCTGACAGTATGTCCCAAGTATGAGAGACAGAATCTGGCCATCCTCGGTTCCAAAGAGCACTTCTTCCAATACGAATCTGTTTGTTCTTTTGGTGGTCCATGGTACTTTCAATATTCTCCAACAACACCATAATTCAAATGCATCAATTTGGGAAGATGGAGTAGGATGGTGGAAAAAGGCCTTTGAAGGTGCAGACTTGGATTAATTTATTTCCTGCAGTTTAGCCACAGTGTAACCCTGGGAAAGTTATTCTGCTTCTGTAACCTTACTTTCCTGGTCTGGACAATAGGAAGTAACGCCCATCTTGTGGGTTTCTTGGGAGGAGTAAAAGGACATCGTGTTTGGTAAAGTGAGGGCCATCAAAAAGAGGAAGAATCTCAATGAAATGGATTGACACAGTGGCTGCAACAATGGGCTCAGATGTAACAATTGTGAGGATGTTGAAGGACAGGACTTGTTCGGAGTCACTGTGAGTAGAAAGTGACTTGATACCACCTCCCAACCACAACATGTGCTTAGCACTGATCGGTACATATTCACTCATTCATTCAAGGAAGATTCTGTGAACACCTGTTACATGTCAAGTCTTACACCAGGCACTGGGAGAGAGCAACATAGACAGTTTCTGCCCTGCGGAACTTGATTGGGGGACACAGATGAATAAACCCCGGGTATTATAAATCAGAACTGTGGTTTATGGGAATGAATGATGGCCAACAACCATCCTGGTGTCAGAGAAGATACCCGGAGGGGATGCTGTCTCAGGTGAGTCTTGAAAGATGAAAGGAAAGATTCTGGCACCACCGGCACCAGCATGTTCAAAGACCCAGTGTCAAGACAGCATGTGTGTTCCAAAGCAGTTAAGTATGGCTGAAGCTCAGAGGTTGAAGGAATACAGATGGCCCCGAAGCAAATTGGCCAGAGGGGCCACAGCACGGAGGTGAGTGCAGTGGCCAGGCCAGAGGTGCTGGAAGTAGTTGTAACTGCAGTGGAAGGCAAGTAGCGAGGGCAGAAGGACTGGAGGAAATGGGATGAGTTCACGTATACTTTGTAGAATCTTTGGGACTTGGTTGTGGTTTGAACAAGGAAAGAGGGACAAACTGAGTCAGGTGATGCCCAGCATTTGGCTTGGGCATCTGGATAGACAGCCGTACTGTGAGATAGGATGGTAGAAGGAATCTCTGACAGACCGAACTTGAGGAGTTACATTCTTTAGAAACCTTTGGGATGTGGAGGTGTTGAGGGGATACTATGAATATGGACTGTGAATGGCATTCCCTGCCATTGAGCCAGCATGGCCACCTGGAGATGTCCAATTAGATAGTGGGTCAGCGCCTAGGAAGATGTCTGGCCTGAAGAGGTGTTGGGAGTGACTGGAGCAGATGTAAATGTGGGAAGACAAGGGGCCCCAGGTCAGCTCTGATGAGCACTTTAGAAGTCTGCTACAGGAAGAAGAGCTTACTGGCTGAGAAGGAGCAGCTGGAGGGAGGGTAGGAGGAACTGAGGGTAGTGAGATCCCTGAGCAACACAAATAGCTTGTGCTCATCTACTAACCCAAAAGTTGGAGGTTCGAATTTACCCATTGGCACTGTGGAAGAAAGGGCTGACGATCTGTTTCCATAATGATTGTAGCCAAGAAAACCCTGTGGAGCAGTGAGCAGTTCTCTGTAATATATGGGTATACCATGAATTGGAACTGACTTGATGGCAACCGGGTTATGTTTGTTTCTTTATTTAGTTGGATCCTAGATTTGTGAACAGAGCATAGTCCTAGAAAGACATGACCAAAGTTTCTAATGCTCACTGGGGCTCTTATATCCTGGAGCCTCACTTTCTTGGTCTGGAAAATGGAACAGTAGCACCTAACACATAGATTTGAGGAATAACTAAGATTGGGATTCTTCTCTGAGGTCACACTGCAAGCCAAGGGTAAAGCCAGGGATCTTGCCTCACATTGTCTGCCTCCAGTCCACAGCCCTGCAGCTTCTGGAAGGATGGCAGTGAGGTGACTAAGCAGAGGCAACAGGACCGGAATAGGTTCTAGACTCAGAGCTGGGGGGCTGCAACCTCACTGGTAGGAGGTGGGAATATCCCCACTGGGAACCAGGAGCACATAGAGCACAGAGAAGCTGATGGCTCCTCCCTATGACCAGACCCCTGGACAGCCCAGCTGGGTCTGGGCTCCACATGGGCTGCAAATCTGCCCTCACCCCAGGCTGACAGAGGGTGGGCTGCTGGTATGCTTGTGCTAGTCTGTGTGTGTCCATCTCTGCGACCCCATATGCATCTGTCTGTGTGGCCCCGTGTGTATGAATGTGTGTTAGTGAATGTGTTGGGGGTGGGGCTGGGTATCTGTTGCCATCTCCCTTTCTGAGTGTGTGTGTATATGTGTGTGGTGGGAATGATACTGTCTCCTCCTCTCAGTGTTTTCACATGTGTGTCTGGGGTGTTGGAATCCATGCCTGTGTGTGCTGCTCACCCAGGCTCCACATGTGCACTGCACGCCCGCTGTCCTCTGGGTGTGGCTGCCTGGCTTGGCCAATACCTCTCTCTGTCCAGGCACACCCGAGCTGTTCCCCTGCCAGGCGAGTCTTCTCAGCTGCTCTGCTGTTGGAGGGGAGAGGAGCAGAGAGGATAGACAATTCCAACCCTAGGAGCTGGCCCAGCCTGTGAGCAGGGAGCAGCGGTGAGCCCACCTCAGAGTAAGAACTAAACTAACTCAGGCTAGTAGGCATTCCACAACCAGCTTAGGTCCTGCTGGGCCCAACTGGGAGGGAAGGGGGCAACTCCCCTATAGCTGGGGGTCTGTAACTGGTCCTTCCCCGCCAGCCCCGGAGCCCAGCAGACGCACCCCCCTCCATGCCCACTCCCTGGGAGGCGTCTGACACATGATTTATTCATAAAAAGCCATTATTTGTGCCAAACAAGAACTGAGCTGCTCATTTTGTAAGTGCTGATAATGCTCTCAGTCTCCTTGCCTCTGCTCCATGCCCCTCCCCTCCATCTTCACTCTTCTCTTATCTCCTCTCTCACCTCCTTCAGGCTTCCCTCTCTTCCTCCTCTTTCTTCCCTTTGCCCCTCCATTCTTTTATTGTTCTCCTCAAACCTCCTTTTCTCTCTACTCCTTCCTTCCATTTTCCTCTCCCCTAGCCCATGGACCTCCTCCCTGCTTCTCTTCTGGTGCCTGCAGTTAGGGGAGGCTCTGAGCCAGCTGTCCCAGGTTGGGGACAGCTCGCACCAGGCCTGGAGCCCAGGACACCACACTTCTCTTCTCAGCCTTCACCTCCTTAGGACCAGGGGAAGCCAGCAGAGAAACATGGGGGAGAGGTCTTCCCAGGCTGTCCCAATCCACAATCCTGGTAAGGAGGAGGACTTTAGCACCCCATTCCTAGCACCAAGCTCCCTGATCCCACATAAAAATTCAGTGTAAGTAAAAACTGGACTTGATATGCAAATGCAGGTTCAAGGCAAGCTTTTTCTTCTCAGTTGTGTCCCTACCCAAATAGAAATTTGTTAGCCAC